TTAGAAAAAAAATGAAAAAAAAGTTTTTAAAGTGAAAATGATTATGAACATGTAACTAATTCCTTATCCTCAAGAAAGGACAAATTTAACAAGGCTTTGAAATCAGAAGCCTAAAATGAGTAATTGTGTATTTATCGCATTCCCCACCCCCAAAGTTTGATTTCTTTACCACATAGCATGAGTTTAATGGGGCAGGAGAATCATGTGGCTTAGTAAGATAGAACCATTTCCTCAACCTAAATTGTGGTCACTGCTTTGATTTTTGGGTTATCTCTGGGCCATTCTAGTACATGAAACAAAACTAGAAGATATATTTAGAATGTAGTTTGTTTCTCTTTCTTCAAGCCCTTCATTTCCTAAATTCACTGTTAGACAAAGTAAGAAGAAATGTTTGTTCTATTACGTAAGAAATAAACTTCATTTGGTATTCACTTGACTTTCTAACTTAGCAGACAGGACTTTACATCTTCAAATACTGAAAATAAATTGCATTCTTGGCCCTTGCTTTAAAAGGTTATACAGAATAAACGCACACCCTGGTAGTGTTCTGGTGATCTCCCTAATCTCAGTTGCACTTTGTCAGAACGAGGTAACTGGTAGTTAAGTGAAATACCCTAGATCAAAGGGGGATTAATCACCAACTGAATCCTTGCTGAATAAACCTGTCATTCAAGAAAATTATTTCCACTGAACTTAGCAGAGGATTGAAGGTATTTGCATAACAGGGACCGACGTACTTCAGCCAGGTTAAAAGGTTCAGAATTCATCCCATGTTTAGCTTTTTGCCTCCTTTTCCTTTCAGCAGGCTGGTACAATGGTTTCTAATCTGATAATACAGCTAACTATCTAAATGATGTCAGAACAGGAAAGTATTGCAAAGTTTGGATGAGGGATGGATCAATTTCACTTTCAGTAACTCCTAAATCTGATTTGTTGGAATTTAAGATGTAATCCTAAAAAAGTCCCTTAAACCTGAGGATTGTTTATTAACATCCCTTTTTTGACCTTTGTCTTATAAACAACCATTTGGCTGTAGCAGCAGCCCCTGCAGAGATTCTAGATAATTCTACCTACCTGCCTACCACCCAGGGGTACTGCAGGAATCTATGAATGACTACTTGAGTATTTTGAAATTTTTTAATAAAAATATTTGCAGTTCGTACCATGTTTATCTTCATTTAAAAGGCATTAAATCATGTGCAATGCATAAAACCACAATAACCATAACCAATCAGAAATACTGAACTGGTATTACATGTAAAGTGATGCTTAAAAAAAAAGGATAGACTTAGGTTTAAATTAAAAATTAAACAAATTTTCCCCAAAGAATTTGACAAGGTTTTTGACTTTTGACAAGGTTTTTGACTTTAAACTTGGCATTCAAACACATTATTTAAAAAGCAAGACATAATATCACCAAAGTGTCGTCTACTAAACTACTTGAGTTAAAAAGTTAACAACATATTGTTTAATGAAAAATGAAGGGAAGTATTCCAAGGGTGTTATCTGAATCCATCTTCAGTTCATTTTCATAAGCTTAACTTACCCCCACCCCCTTACCCTTACGGGTTTACTGGAGAATAACTACACATATGATAGACATCAGATTTCATAATCATATTTAGGCACTATAGAGAATTTAGCAATTTTGCATCTAGAGCAGGCCTGACCATCCAATTGCTCTCTGGACGTAGCTGCTCATATTCACTGCAAATGCAAAGTATCTTTCAAGTTAAAAAATGCAAAGAATAGTTATCAAAGAAAATGAATAAAATCCATAGTGAGATAATTTTTTAGAAAATGATTGAAGTTTTAACCCAAGAAAGGACTCTTAGAGTGTCTTATAGCTTAGAATAAGAACATGTCAATCACGATTAAGCTTCTGGAATCGGAATCCCTTTGAAATGCAGCTGTTTCTTCTTTAATTGTGGCAGCGGACTCTGAAGAAAAGGAAGGTCCAGCCTTAAAGATGAGTAAGGAATACAAAATAGCTCAGGATTAGTTGTGGAGTTCAAAGGTCGCTAATTACACTAAGGAGTTCCCAGACACGGGCAAAACACTAAACCGGTCACCTACCAAACGGGAAACAGACTTTGTCTTCAGAAATTATCTTGAAGTGACAGGTTTCTAGACAAAATCAAAAGCATCGCAGCGTGTTCAGCTGATCTCAATGGGATGAAAACACGAGCTAGTCTTAGTTCTGTAGCATTATGTGAGAATGGAATGGCAACAGATGGCATCAAGTTCTCCACAGAGTCTACATACATTTCTAGTACTTCCTAAGTTTTCCCTCCAGGTTCTAGAAATGTCAAATCAAACTTTCAATGTGGTTTTTCAGAATGATTGTTTATAAAGAGTTTTGCCAAGTAGATCATACCAAACCTCTAAATATCTCTTAACTATCTTAGTTTATTTTGCTAAACATTTATCCAATCAGTATTTCCAAATAGCTCCATTAATATTAAACCCCTAAACCCACTGTCACAGAGCTAATTTCAACTCTGCTGTTGTTGTTAAGTGCCACTGAGTGGAGTATGACTTGTTGCAACGCTATGAACAACAGATCTGAACTCTGTCCTATCCTGTGCCGACCTCATCATTTCCAACATATTTGAGCCCTCTGCTATAGCCACTGTGTCAATTAATTCAATCTCTTCAGGGTCTTTCTTATACAGAACCTGTACCTTTTCAAGTATGATGTCATTTTCCAAAGACTAACCCCTCCTAACAGGACCAAAGAATTTCAGATGAAGCTGTTTCATCCTTGCTTCCAAGGAGCACTGCTCTTGGTCCCAATCTTATCTGTTCTTTTTGCAGTCCTGGGATATTGAGTATCATGACCTAACACCACAACTCAAAGGCATAGTTTCTTCTTAGGTCATCCTTAATCACTGTCTAGTTCTCAAATGCATAGCAAGTGATTAAAAAGACCCTACATTGGCTTTCTGGGGCTGTAAATCTTCACTTGAGGGACCACTGACCTTTTAGTTAGCAGTACAAATCAACACAGCTCTACTCATTAACATGAGTTAAATGTTAAGCTTTCCTCAAGTTTAAAAGTGATCATGTAAATCTGGGGAATATTTGTATTTTCTTTGAGAAGGTAAGTCTTTACTACATATTATCTAGAATTAAGTTAGAATAGCAGGTGAATGTCCTGGACAGGTAGTCAGTCCACATTTGCTCATTGCTGTCACATTGGAACAGTGCTATCCGGATGGTATGAATGTTTAAGAAAGTCCCCTAAGATAGTCCCTAAGAAAGTCCACCAAGATAGTCACTAAGGTCCCTCCAGAGGGTTTTTGGAGGCTAGAAACTGCACTGGAAGAGAGTGCCCATCTTTCTCCCTTGGAGCCACTGGTGGATTCAAACCACATGCTTTTGAGTTGGTAGTGAAACTCTTGACACTTTAGGCCATTAAAGCTCCTTTGTTTTCTTGGTTAACTTGGGATAATTCTGAACATGGAACACTGTGCTATGACATGCTTTGTAGACAATGAGTTTATATTAAGTATGAATGACTTTAATGAAAACACCATATCCAATATCCTAAATTTACATGCAATGTTCCATTAAACTGACATAGTTCTCCTCTGAAGATCTGGCAGATTTTTCTAAGGTCTTCTTAGCAGAACCCATTAAAAAATATAGTTTAATTTTTAATTCAATTATATATAAATTTACTATTTAGTTAAAAAAATGCTTCTAATTTTGTTCTGTGAACAGAACTTTGGCATGAATTAAATTTTGAGGATCTTGAGATTCCAGTCTTTTTAAATGGTTAGTGTTCAACAAACTACCATAAAACATAATATATTCTAATAGGGACCTGAAAGGATAGGGCAACAGTAGGCCGAGATCTAGGGTGATTAATTTTATAAAACACAATGTACATGAATGATCGTATGAAACACAATGTGAATGAAGGAATATGTGAAACACAGTGTACCTGAATGACACAATGCATATGAATTTTGTATGCAAATCAATATAAATTAAAAAAAATAACTTCAAAGAAACACAACAACAAATACAATGTATGACATATAACTATAAAGGTAAGTAGAGAATAGAGCATGATTTCATGGTTTTTGAAGACTTAAGCCAATACTTGTAAAAAGTGACAAATTTGAAGAAAGTATGCTACATGAAACAAGAATAAATGGCGTGCTCTATCCGAAGAATTCATTTCAATTTAATTAAACAAAGAAAAAGCAGAATTATATCTAAATTTTTCTTTTAAAATTTGTCTGAAGACATTAAATGATCACAAAATACCATGTTCAACTTCAGGACATATGGTACCCCCCCCTTACTGATATTCTAAGCAAAATGTTGTTGCAGGAGATTAACAAATACTTAACTAGAAACTTAACTAAAATACTCAACTACTTATAACTCCAAAACGGCAATAAAAACTTAAAACAGAATGATGAGATTCTTATTATTCAGTAGAATGGTTCTGATTTTGACAAAGAATAGTGAAACAATTTTCCTTTCTTTTCACCCATCATATTTAAAAGAGATTTATGTTTGTTTACAATATGGTGCTGGTATATCAGAACAATACATTTTCCTAGGAGCTTATAGCTTTTAAGTTTCTTAGAAAGGAGTTTTTATCTCACATAGTACCTTGACTTCATTAGCAGTAGCTGCTTGACATTCTGCACTGAGAAGGAAACTGGCTGCTTAAGGAGAGAGGGACAGGAGTGATTAGTAATGTCTGTTAAGGGACAGGTAGGAACATCGTTGACTGTGTGACCCAGAATGTGTCTAAGTTTTTTGTCTGCTGTACATAATTTTTGAGTAAAATAAAAATGTAAAAAAAAATTAGAGTATTAGTCTTTAAAATGCTATTTTAAGCAATATCAAACTGAAAATATTAAATAAGAGTACTATGTAATTGAGTCATTCAATGATTCTTTTTACCCAAACTGGTTTATAAGCATATGCCCAGTATATTTTAGTATATTATGATAAGCATATACCCATATATTTAATTATAATATTAATGATCCATATGCTATTGGAGCAGCAGCTTTAGAATTCCAGATGTAATAATCAGAAGAAATTAGTTTCCGGTCTAAAAAGAAAAGAAAAAATATGGTAAGACTTTTATCTGCAAGATTAAATGAGAGTACAAAGTCATGGTTTTGTTGAAATTTTGTAAATAATTTCAAAGCAGTACTTGGAAATGAAAGTATTAATTAATTTCAATTCTAATTAACAGAGTATGTTTAGAAGTTCTACTATTTAAAAATATAGACACATTCACTTTTTGAATACAGTATCCCTAAGGTTATATGAGATGATGCAATATCCTTTCTTTATACCAAAATGGCCCATTTTTACTTAAAGTTCCTCCAAATTCTGGTTTGTGTTTTTTTTTAATTTGTTTTGTTTTTTTGTGGACCACTAGACTAGCTCCAAACCATTTTAAATGATTTTCTTGTTTTTCACTCATGTAGACGCTTCACTATGTCCTTACTTAGTCTGGTCTTTTCTCAGTAATCAAACACAGCTGTTTATAACATTCTTCAAAGATTCTTTCTCTTAAAAGTTCTTATCAAGATAAGTTTCTTATTTTATTAGCCTTGTAACTTTGAGAAATGGCCTTTTTAAACATCATTTTTCTTTTTTTATTTCACTTTATTATTTGCACATATACCATCAAATCAGATCTGACTGGTACAGGAGGAGATTGCCCCTCCTTTTCCAGCAGAGCATCTGGTGGATTCGAACCGCATACCTCTGGGATTGCAGTGCAGCTTCTTGCCACTAGGCCACCAGAGTTCCCTAACTTCAGTTTTCTAATAGGTAAGGTTAGTAATGTTTTGGAGCTGTTGTGTTATGTGTCTTCAAGTCAATTATAACTCATAGCTACCCTACAAACAACAGCCCTGAGCCCTGCCCTATCCTGAGCCAAACTCATGTCTCTGACACACCTGCTCCTGTTGCCCCACACTGTCAATCCATTGTATCCAGGGTTTTCCTCTCCCACAATGACCATTCTAAGCATGATGTCACTCTCCAAGGACTGGTCCCTTCTAACAACAAGCCCAAAGAATTTGAGACAGACTTTCAAAATCCTTGCCTCCAAGGAGTAACCTAGTATCACCCTCTCCAGGACAGACTTGTTCTTTTGGCAGTCCATATGTTCAGTAACCTTCTCTAGCACCATAACTCAAATTCCGTCATACTTACTCACTGTCCAGCTCTCAGATGCTTAGTAAGCAATTGGGAAGACTATGGTCTGGATCAGGTGCACCTTAGTCTCTAGACTGAGATTGTTGCTATTTAGCACTCTGGAGAGGTCCTGATAGCAGACTTTCCTAAACAAGCCATTTTTTGATTTCTTCACTGCTGGTGTCAAGAAAGTTGACTGTGGATTCGAACAAGATGAAACTGTTAACAACATCGATCTTTCCTCTATTATGATGCTGCCAGTTGGCCCAGTGGTGAAATACTTGTTTACTTGATGGTGAGATACTGTGACTTTCTGCACTTCAACTCTACTTGAAACAAACATCACCTAATATAAAACCTGTGAACCTAGTAACATTAAGGAGCAACAAGAGGGCAAGTTCCAGCACAGCCTGCTTGGACTTTTACTATTAGCTATGAAACAAACACTCAAACGTGGCACTGTGGGGTCAGAATCAACTCATTGCTGTCTCTCCAGTGGGTTTTCAGAGGCTGGAAACTGCACAGGAGGAGACTGCTCATCTTTCTCCTGAAGAGCTGATGTGGGATTACAACTGCCAGGCAGGCCCTACCTTTAGGTTTGCAACTCATCTCCCTATTGACCAGGACTCCCTCCCAGCAACTTGGCAGCATCTAACAACAACAATCATAATTAAGTTACCTTCACCTCACCTCTCTGTTCTTTTGGTTTGCTCATATGTAAAACGGAAATACAGATTTTTTTACTGTTATAAATGTCAATAGGAAAAGGTGTATGTCCAGGGTTCTGTCAAGATTATTAAGTTAATACACATAAAACACTTGTAACTGTGCCTGGCACATAGTAAACAATAACTATTAGCTGTTATTATTATTGAAATTAGTATAATTATTAGCATTAGTAAACTAAACTATATACTGGTAATGCAGCCAACATAATGACGAAAAGTTTCACAAACTGACAGTTGTCTTCTGAAACTAAAAGAAATAAAACACTAACCATAGTGATTCTCTTAACATGAGCTCTTTCATTCTGTAGTTTTGTATTAAGAAGCCAAGATATTGCTTAAATGTCACATCCTATATTACACTTTCCGAAAATAATTTCAGTATGTTAATATTAATAAAGTACTTGTTGTTGTTGTTATGTGCCGTTGAGT